CCTACTTTCAAGCCATGTGTTCCAAATTTCACCACGGAAAACAGTGTTCTAAAGGGGTCTTGCTCCATTTGAATCCCCATGTCTTTGGAAAAAGAAATCTGGTTCATTCCGGAGGATACCCCTTCCCCTTTGATGTTCAGATGGGATAGAGGAAAGGAAAGAAGATCCCAGAGCCAGTGATTATTTCTAGATAAGGCCTTTTCCTGCGTATGCAATGTCTCTAAAGGGTACTTTCCTTCTTTTATCACAGGCAAGTGCTTCTCTCATTTTGGTGGCTGAGAAACATTTCCATTTGAGTTCTTCAGTAAATCCAGACATGCTCCTCCCCCATTCCCTCTCTCTCTCTTGCCCCCTCATCAGCACATAAAAACGGCCATGCTGGGACAGACCAAAGGTCAATCTAGCCTGTTTTCTAACAGTATCCAATGCCAGGTGCCCCAGATATGTAATCATCAAGTGACCCATCCCCTGCCGCCCATTCCTAGCTTCTGACAAACAGATGCTATGGCCACCATACCTGCCCATCCTCACTAGTAGCCATTGATGGACCTATCCTTCATCCTCTCGTTCTTTTTTGAACCCTATTAAAGGCCTGGTCTTCACAACCTCCTCTGGCAAGGAGTTCCACAGGTTGACACTGTATTCTGTGAAGATATACTTCTTTTTGTTTGTTTTAAACCTTCTACCTACTAATTTCATTTAGGGTGTGTCTAGACTACAGGTTTGTTTGTTTTTAAAAAAAAGTGGCCTTTTTTTGAAAAAACTTTCCCTGCATCTAGACTGCTGACGCGTTCTTTTGAAAGTAAATTGAAAGAACGTGGCAGTTTTTTCGACGGTGGAAAACCTCATTTTACGAAGAATAACACATTTTTATGAAAGTGCTTGTTTGAAAAAAGGTGCTATGCTTTTTCAAAAGTATCTTTTGAAAAAGCCTCTTTCGAAAGAGGCTTGCAGTCTAGATGTAGCCATAGTGACCCCTAGTTTGTATGTTACAGGAACAAGTAAATAACTTTTCCTTAATTACTTTAACCACATAAGACCTCTATCATATCTCCCTTTAATCTCCTCTTTTCTAAAATGAAAAGTCCCAATCGTATTAATCTCTTCTCATATGGGATCCGTTTCTACTCCTAGTCATTTTATTTTCCTTTTCTGAACTTTTTCTAATATCAAGATATCTTTTATTGAGGTGAGGCAATGACATCTGCACACAGCAGTATACCATAGAGGCAACAATATATTCTCTGTCCTATACTCTATCCCTTTTAAAATTATTTCTAACATTCTGTTTCGGTTTTTTTGACTGCTGCTGCACATTTGTGGATATTTTTAGAGAACTACCCATAATGACTCCATGATCATTCTCTTGAGAAGTAATAGCTAAATTAGTTCCTATCATTTTATACATATAGTTGGGATTGTATTTTCCAATATGCATTAATTTGCATTTATCAACATTAAAATTCATCTGCCATTTTGTTTTCCAGTCACCTAGTTTTGCGAGATACTTTTGAAGCTCTTTGCAGTCTGCTTTGGAAGTAACTATCTTGAGCAGTTTAGTATCATTTGCAGATTTTGCTATTTCAATGTTTATCCCTCTTTCCAGATTGTTTTTGAATATATTGAATAGGATTGGTCCCCATACAGAGCCCCGGGGGATACCTCTAGTTACCTCCCTCCATTCACAAAACATGCCATTTATTCCTACCTTTTGTTTCCTATGTTTTAACCAGTTCTCAATCCATGAGAGGTCCTTCCCTCGTGTGATCACTGACAGTAAAGAAGAGAAACAGAACACCCAGATGCTTAAGGAAGATTTCTATTCTGGGCTGGAGGAACAGAACTTGTAAAGTAGGTGGATGAATCACTTAAGAGTCAACCTCCTAGGGATTTTTGTCATCTTGTATTTTCCCCAAGGAAAATGCCTTTTCTCTCTTTTGTTAGATTGTTGTAATTTCTTGAGATTCCTTAGATGCTAATATTTGCTGTGGCCAAACATTATAAACTAAATTGTACCAAGTCCTCTTATGTCTCCTGGAGATCTTATGGATGAACCTCTCTGAGGGTATGTCTACACTACAAAGTTAGTTCGAACTAACGAACGTTAGTTCGAACTAACTTTTAGGCGCTACACTAGCGCTCCGTTAGTTCGAATTAAATTCGAACTAACGGAGCGCTTAGTTCGAACTAGGTAATACTCATTCCACGAGGATTAAGCCTAGTTCGAACTAGCTAGTTCGAATTAAGGGGTGTGTAGCCCCCCTCCCAGCCCCGGACCCCTTAAAGGGCCACGGGCTGGCTACGGTGCCCGTGCCAGGTGCAAGCCTGCCAGCACCCGGCCAGCAGACCCTGCACCTGGCACGACACGAACCAGCCACCAGCTGCCACCCAGCCCTCCACCTCTTCCAGGGACCTGGCTGGCGGGTCCCCCGAGGCCGCCCCCGGGCG